TGTAGGGTCTCTCTCCCGTGTGAATCCTCTGATGCTTTTTTAAGTCTCCTCCCAGGCTGAAATTTTTCCCGCACTGAGGGCATTTGTAGGGTCTCTCTCCCGTGTGAATCCTCTGATGCTTTTTTAAGTCTCCTCCCAGGCTGAAATTTTTCCCGCACTGAGGGCATTTGTAGGGTCTCTCCCCTGTGTGAGTCCTCTGATGGTTCTTCAAAAGGACCGCCTGGATGAAGCACCTCCCGCACTGCAAACATTTGTACGGCTTCTCTCCCGTATGAATCCTCTGGTGGGTCTTTAAATTTCCCTTCTGGTTGAAGCATTTGCCGCAGTAAGAGCATTTGTACGGCTGTTCGCCGGTGTGAATGCGCTGGTGAGTCTTCAGATCCCCCTTGTGGGTGAAGCACTTCCCGCACTGAGAGCATTTATGGATTCTCGTTTCGGTCCCGGGGTCTTGTGTTCTTTTCAGCGGCTGCATGTAACAAAAACTCTTCCCGCTTTCGGCACCGCTATTCGGCTTCCAATCTGCAGGGAGGGTCGGAAAGATCTCCAGGCTGCTCCCTTTCCCGTGTCCGGAGCCTTCGTAGCTTCGGTTTGCGGTTAGGATTTTTTCCGGTTTATTAAAGCACGAATTATGGGGCAGGTTTTCCTCCGACAAAGGGTGTATTTTGTATTCCTCCCCGGAATATTGCATTCCAAGTTCAAACCTGTAGTGATATTTTCTGCCGTAAAAGGAGAACGATGGCATTTTATCCCAAGTGGGTTTTGTAGCGCTTTCGAGGAAGGCACCCGAACAACTCCCGGTACGTTGAGCGCATTCGTTCTGGGTTTGGGTTTCGCTGCTTCCCTCCAGTCTTCCCACGCCTGGTGCTACGTTCCCCAAATTCAGGAATGGAAGCACCTCACATGTCTCTTCTGGTTTCTTTTCTCCATCCTGAATATTCTCCACTTTCACCAAACTTCCCTTTCCATCACCTACAACGAGAAAGAAAATAAGTTTTCTTCCTGATCTGCTGACTCTTTTTAAGATTCCTATTCTGCCTAGTCACAGACTTTTTCTCACAAATTCATTCGTTAAATTCAGCCTATCTTAGAGTATCTGGACTAAACCCCTCCTTATCAAGCTTCCAAATAACTGCCCATGTTTTCCCCAAAATAAGACCCAGTCTTGGTTTCTTTGGGGCTTGAAAATAAGGACTCAGGCTTATTTTCGGGGTAGGTCATATTTTTGGGAAAACACAATATATACGTACCAATAAAGGAAAATATTTGCAGCTCAGGGTTGAAATGAGGGAGTGCTCTCTGAGCGTTCTTGTTTTCTTGCGGGCATTTCATTACCCTAACTAGAATAGAATAGGGTAGAATAGAATAATAGAGTTGGAAGGGACTTTGGAGGTCTTCTAGTCGAACCCCCTGCTTAGGTAGGAAACCCTACACCACTTCAGACAAGAGGTTGTGCAATCTCTTCTTAAAAACTTCCAGTGTTGGAGCATTCACAACATCTGGAGGCAAGTTGTTCCACTGATTAATTGTCCTAATTGTCAGGAAATTTCATGTTGGATAACCATTTATCTGAAGTGGTGTAGGGTTCCCTGCCTGAGCAGGGGGTTGGACTAGAAGATCTCCAAGGTCCCTTCCAACTCTGTTATTCTAAGTCCAGGATTACCTGTAGAATTTCTACTCCCTGACAAAATTCAAAGCTGAGTTATGACCGTTTCTCACACTTATGACCCTTGCAGCATCCTCATGGTCATCTGATCAAAATTGAGGTGCCCGGCAACTGACTCGTATTTATGACGGTTGCAGTATCCTAGGGTCTTGTGATCCCCTTTTGCGACCTCCTCACAAGCAAAGTCCATGAGAAATCTAGATTCACTTAACAACCGAGTTACTAACTTAACACCAGCAGTGATTCCTTCAACTAGGGCAAAAAACGTTGTCAAATGGGGCAAAAGCCGCTTTGCAAACGTCTCACTTAGCCACAGAAATTTTGGGTAAAATTGCGGGTCCTTAGTTGAGGACTTCCTCTATAATATAAACGGACAAGAAGGAAAGAATGGCGTCCGAGGGACCATCCATCCAATAACAGCTCATAGATCTCCCGATTTCCAAGCTTGGGAAACAGGCATGCCTGAAAATCTTTTGAACCGAATCAGAATCGGAAGAGAGCTAGAAGGGACCTTGGAGGTCTTCTAGTCCTATCCCATGCTCAAGCAGGAGATCTTATACCAGTGATGACTAACCTTTTTCCCATTGTGAGCCAAAATGGGGGAAGCGCAGGGGGGGGGGTCATATGCGGGCATGCCCACACCCATAATGATATGTGTGCGACCCCCGCGTGCATGTGCACACAAACCCCCTCCCTTTTGGCCTGGGATAGATCCATTTTTCGCCCTCACCAGGCTCCAGAGGATTCCCTGAAGGCTCCAGAGGATGAAAAACGGTCCCGTCAGCAAACCGGAAATCCATTCCTGAACTTCCTGAAGTCCATTCCTGAACTTCCGGTTTGCCCATAGGGCCGGCTTTTGGTCATGCTTCAGCCTCCGGAGGGCAAAAAACAGAAGGCCGAAGTCAGGTGGCCAGTGTGCGTATGCGCGCTGGAGCTGACAGGGCAACACCTCGCGTGCCCTAACAAATGCGTGACCCGTCAAAACCGCGGTCCACAAAAGCGCGATCGATGAAAGCACGCATTTGACGTCATCACAGCGCGACGAAAAAAATTAAAAATGGAAATAAAAATAAAAAGAAAGAAAGCCGATTCACATAAAGGTAAGG